ACACCTACACACACACACACACACACACACACACACACACACACACACACACACACACATTTCCTTTTTGGTTTGAAGTCAGAGCTGGCAACAGTCAGAATGCATGACTCTCTTGGGGTGATTTCTAGGTTGTGACTGTTTCCTAGTGACGTGGGGGGCCTGTGCCAAGTCGTTGCACATCCCCAAAACTGCTGATAGGGTTTTCCCCTAGAGAGGAAATGCCATGGTTCACGGGTGCTTTAGTGCGGAAACTGGTGCAGGTAGGTGAAATGTTTTTATAATTTTGCCACTAAGAGAAAGAGAGGACCCAGGGGGATCCTTCTGCCCGAGGGAGCCGCTCCCTGGGTATAACCTCATCTGCTGTGTGCATGTGGACCAGACGGGTGGAATGAAACTTCCTAAGGTGTTTGTGGTTTGATTGTTTTCAAATGTCTGGAGACTCAAGGAAATGTGAGGACTCATATTTCTTTCAAAGGACCATTTCTCATATGTGGGCTTTTGAAATTGAACCTATGAGGGCTGTGGCAATAGGGTGGGGTCTGTTTGTTTTCCTTTTTCCTCTACTGAGGTGTATATGAAGGCTCTGAATTCTTGATTTAATGTTTTATGTTTTTATAAACATGGCTCTGAAGTAGGAGGATAGCAGATAGATGCTAATTACTCATTGAAGAAGATCCTTGTTCTCTAAAGATCTGTTCACCTTGAAGAACTGGCTGTGCCAGCCTTCCTGGTAAGTCACGCAAAGCATTTATACATCTGCGAAGATCAACTACAGAAATATCTCAGGAGGTTGCCCAAGTGCGTTGACAGGTGGCAGGGGAGAAAAGTTTTCAATAGGCAAAGGAAGGTATTCTATGTAAAGCAAAATACATATCTAAGATGAACTCTGCAATATAAGAAATAAATATAAGCATTATCTGAAATTGTTCCCTGAAGAAATCAAAGCAACACAGTTCATCTATTGTAGCTGCTGAACTGTCTTGAAACTGAATGTGCCGCTGTGGTCAAGAAAGTGAAGCTAACCCCCGCCTCCATGCTGGGAATGAGACCAGAACCTACTACACCTGGAACACGGAGTCATTCCATTTGTTGAGCTTCAAGAAAAGTCTAATGACGCTGGAGCCAGTTAAGAGGAGGACAGCTGAAATGACCAAAGAGGTTAGGGTTTCCATATAAGGAGCTACTGAAATGACAGAATTCTGCTTTGTAAAAAAGTAAAAGGATGAGAACAGATATGATCAAATGATTTGACATCATGAAAGGTCTAGAAAAGGTGAAAAGGATGTTCAGTCTCAGAATACCTCCGAGTCAGTGTCTTAGTTATCTAGTGCTTCTATAAAAGAACTACCACAAATAGATGGCTTTAACAAAGAGAAATTTATTTTCTCACAGTCTAGGGGGCTTAGAAGTCCAAATTCAGGGTGCTTTCCCTCTCTGCTGGCTCTGGGGGAAGGTCCTTGTCATCAGTCTCCCCTGGTCTAGGAGCTCCTCAGCACAGGGACCCTGAGTCCAAAGGACACGCTATTCCCCTGGCTCTTGTTTCTTGGTGGTATGAGGTCCCCATGTCTCTCTGCTCGCTTCTCTTTTATATCTCAAAAAAGATTGGTTTAAGATGAAATCTAATCTTGTAGATTGAGTCCTGCCTCATTAACATAACTGCTGCTAATCCCAGCTCATCGATACCATAGAGATAGGATTTACAACACACAGGAAAATCACATCGGTTGACAAAATGGTGGATGATCACATAATACTGGAAATCATGGCCTAGCCAAGGTGACACATTTTTGGGGGATACGATTCAATCCATACCAGTCAGGATTTCTAAAAGCAACTCTGCATACTCCCTACATGAGAATCACTTATGATATGTCTTTAAAAAGCAGGTACCCAGGCCCCTCTGGACCTAGAGTATTAAAATCTTCTGGAATGAGGCACAAGAATCTGTGTTTCAATAGACATTCCAAGTGATGTTTTTGTACACTGATGTTTGAGATCTGTTCGAGGTCCTACTGGACCTCTGGTCCTTTTCTGGGCCTGGCTGCCTGGTACTAATCACATCTTGTCAAGTGTGGGTGCGTCTAGCGTCTGGCAGATGCTCTGTGACCCAGGAACCAGGTGTACGTTCCTCGGTAGGCTCTCTAAGCATCAGCCAGTATCTACCCAGCATTGGGGGGAATGCAGAATGGGACAGACCATGAATGTGATCCAGAGTGGAATCCTAAGGGAGCTTCCTCTAGCTTCTCCGAGTGCCTCACCTAGGATACTTAAGAATATGACACGTTTCTAGCAATAATCTATGGTACAGGTATTATTTTTCTCATAAGATTTATTTAAAGATCTTTTTACCTTGGAACGTAAATTCTCAGAGGGAATACAAGGAGCAGAACTGACATATCTTTTTATTACTATACATCAGTTAAACTTATGCAGAAAGTTCTCTGACATAAAAAGTACCTTTTTGTGCCCTGTACACTTAAAATACAGTACTGCTGAAATATACAGATAACATATAGAAACAAAAACAAACTAATAATAAGTGGAAGGGAATCTAATAAATACTTCCAGTCAGGCTGTGTGCTTTCATTTATTACCTCACAGTCAGAAAAAATGGAAATAGAAAGTATTCTTTCATATGGCATAAGGTGAACTCTCTTTCCTTCACCTTATAGCATCCTGTGGACCAAAGAGGAACTAAAGTTTAAAAAGAGAGAAACTGTTGATGGTCCAAAGGAAACACAGTGGTGAATTTTTTCACAGTAGGCAGAACAGATGGCATGCTGACTAAAACATGGCAGTTCGCTGGAGAAGTGTAAAAATTGCATCCTCCCTCCCCCCATTTACAAATGTGATCAAGGGAAAAAACAAAGCTTATAGTTTTTAAACTGAAATTTGGGCAGGCCATTTGCGAATGTTCAGGTGTACACATCATCCGGCTGTTTCTCTCGTTTCCTTCGTGTGATCCAGCCTTGGAAACAGACACGCAGCTGCAGAATTCCAGGAGGGGCAGGTCTCTGGCCACGTTTTTTGTGCACTTACTCAATGCCAGGCATTTGGCCAAGTGCTTTTCCCACCTTGACTCACCAAACTTCAGTCTGTCTGCGTAAACCACTCGTTCCCACTGGATTCCTTTTTTGGCAGGTGTGGGAGGTGGGAAGAGGGATGGATGGGGAATTGAAGTGTCAGGAATGTTCCAGGTGTTTTCCAGACACACGGATTCTGGTGCTTAAAATGAACTGATTTTAAACTCTATCCCTTAATACTCTGGAGGGGTTCTGAAGAAAAGCCAGGAGGGCGACTGGGTTTCATTAGGAAAGAAAAAATGAAGTTCAGTGCTGAAGGAGGCAGCTTCCAGTTTGAGCAGCGGTCGGTCGGTCGGTGAGTCAGACCCGAGAGCCCTGAGAACGGAGAGCGGCGGGTTTGGCTTTCCAGGGGCTCTCCACCGGGGCCAGAGCACTCCTCGTGTGGTGGACCGTGGGTCCTCCTCGTCCCTCGCCCGTTCCGAGCCGCCCTTTCCGGGCTCCCGGCTCGGCGAGGTCCCGGCCTAGCGCCCAGGCGGCCCCGAGGGCCTTGACCCGCGCGAGCGGGGTCGCGGGCGGCGGCCGCGTCTTCGTTAGGGGGCGCTCTGGG